AGAAACACATTCTTCACATACAGTTGGTGTAGTTGCCATCCATCATTTATTGTCAGAGAAATCAACGTTCGAACAGTACTCATTTTTGCCACTGGTGCAAAAGTCTCATCGTAGTCAATGCCGTATGTCTGGCTGTACCATTTTGCCACCAGTCGTGCCTTATATCGTTCAACCTTCCCTTCTAGGTTCTGCTTCATAGTAAACACCCACTTACATCCCACTGCTCTTTTTCCTGCTAGCAGTGTCGCTAATTCCCACGTGTGGTTCTTCTCAAGAGCCTCCAGCTCCTCATGCATAGCAGCCTTCCACTTTGGGTCCTTCTTAGCATCCCACCGGTTGTTAGGTATAATAACAGAATCTAATGATGCAATGAATATTCCGTGTGAAGGGGATATGTGAGAGTAGGAAACAAATTGATCTAGATCCCAACCATATCTCTTAGGAGGATTTTCCGCATTACTGCGAGTAGTCCTCCTCTCTGACATTGGTGCCGGGAGAGAGGCAGGAGTAGGAATAGTATTACCTAGAGTGGAGGGTGGTGTAGGTGTCTCAGGAGTTGGAGCAGAGCTAGACAAGGGACTAGGCACTGGTACTGTTACTGTAGGCACCTCTGGCTCCTTCCCCCTCCTATTGTATGTAAGCAACTCCCCCTGAGCTGTAGGCCTAACACCCCTTGTCTCCTCCTCCTCCCCTTCATCTTCATCCTCCTTCTCTGCTGAGTACGGGATCGAAAATGGGATTAACCCCCTTGAGCTCTCACCATTCCCTCCCTCTTGCCTCGTACCTCCAGTATCAAGCAAGTCGTCAAAAGGTGAAGTAACCCCCACTGTGTAGTACGGCTCGAGCTCCCGAAACCGCACATCCATGCTGACAAACAGCCTCTTTTCCACTGGTCTCCAGCAGACATACCCTTTTTGGGTGCCATTGTAACCCACGAATATACACTTCACAGCCCTAGGGTCTAGCTTTCCAACCGATGGTCTGTTGTCCTTCACAAAGCACACACAGCCAAATACCTTCAATGGTAGGACACCCCCCCGGTTATCCCCCTTCAGTGTCTCACGAGGAGACTTCCACTCCAACACACTCGAAGGCATCCGGTTGATTAAGTAAGCAGCAATCAAGACTACTTGTCCCCACAACACCTTTGGGATGTTCATCGCCATCATTATACTCCTAGCAACTTCTAGGAGATGTCTGTTCTTCCTCTCTGCTACCCCATTCTGAGCTGGGGTGTATGGGCATGTAGTCTGGTGTAGAATCCCCTGAGCTGACAGATACTCTCCAAGTGTTCTATTGGTATACTATGTCCCATTATCCGACCTTAATACTTTTACTGCTGCACAATACTGAGTCTGGATGTGCTTATGAAAATCTTTAAAACAGTCAACTACATCACTTTTGTTTTTCATAAGATACACCCAAGTGAATCTAGAGAAGCAATCAATAAATGTTACAAAAAACTTGCATCCATTTGTAGAATTTACTGGGCAGGATCCCCATACATCAGAGTGTATTACTTCAAACTTACAAGAACTCCTACTACCCGGACTAACATAAGAGCTTCTAGTCTGCTTCCCAAACTCACAAGCATCACACTGCAACTTCTGTTTATTTCTTTTCCAAACAGAGTTGGATACATTTTACCCAAAATGCCAAATGACGGATGTCCCATTCGCTGATGGTAAAGCATCAACTCATCTTTTACACAGACTTTAGCTCCTCCTGTTCCTGTCTTCTCCACCACAGAAGTCAACGCTGAGTCCATCCCTTCGCGGTCCAAGTACCACAGCCCGCTACGTCATATCCCAGTCCCAAGTCTTCGCCCTATCTCTTTCTCCTGAAAAATTACCTTGGGAATGTTAAAAGAAACAATAATATTTAGTTGGAGGATAATGGCACTAATGGATAACATGCTAACAGGAAATGAAGGAACATGCAGAACATTAGATAAAGTTATAGAACTTGTACAACTAACAGTGCTCTTACCAACCACATCCTGTGCTGTACCATCAGCAATTTGGATGCTCTCTGCTTCTGCTAAGTGAGTGTAAGATAAGAACTCACTGGCATTGCCTGTCACATGTCTAGATGATCCAGAATCCATTATCCATGCGGTGGATCTTCCCTCATTTGGATGTGCACGAAGGGCGTAATTGGCATAGTCCCCTCTAGTGAAAGTAGTAGATGACCCCTCAGACACATCACCTACTGCTCTCTGCTTCCTCCTCAGTGCTGTCAAGAGAGCCCGATCCTCATCAGTGAAGATCATCTCAGCTTCTTCTTTCCTTTCTGCCACTGTCAAGTTTGCCCGGTGGCCTCCTCTTCCACCTCGCCTGCCTCCACGGCCACGGCCACAGCCTCCAGCCTAACCACGTTCACCCTAGTTCCTCTCCTTGGGTGGCTTAGGGCACATCTGTCTCAGATGTCCTACCTCTCCGCAGTTAAAGCAATGCCTAGTCTCCCCTCTGAATCTAGTGTTATCCGGATTGGATACCACCAATGCAGACTTCTCCCCTGTAAGTCTACCTATCCCAGCCTGTAGCCTGATACGGCTCTCCTCCTATATCATGGCCGAGACTACCTTCTCCAGTGATGGGATCTTCGTCTGGATTAGTAGCAACGCCCTTCTTTGCTCATACGCTGGAGCCAAACCTCGAAGAAGCAACATGGTCCTCTTCTGCAGAGAGGCCTCGCGTTCCTTGCACTCCGGGTCCTTACAGCTTGCTAGGGGCGAGAAGTGATTGTGATCGAGCCATAAGCGCTCCAGCTCTGTGGCATACTCCTGTACAGTCCTCTCTCCCTGGACTATAGCGCTGATCTCCTTCTCGATCTGGAATACCCTCAGGTTATTCCCGACGCTATCGTAGGTCCTCCTTAGCTTCTCCCAGACATCATGCACTCTCCCAAGGCCATCCACTATGGTGGCAATTGGCTGGACTACAGAATTCAGAAGCCAGGTGTACACCAACATATAAGTGGACTTCCACTCATCTTTTTCTGTGGAGCCCTCAGCCGGCTCAGTCTTTTCCCCTGTCAGATATCCCTCCAGGCTCCTCCCGACAAGGGTAGATTTCACCCGTCGCGACCAACTCAGATATGTCGCTGGTCCATCGAGCATTACATCGATAGGTGGAAGCTCCACCTTCTTGGGTGGCGGCTTTGTCGAACCCTCCCCCTTCGACAACCTCATCAGTTGCATCAGTGTTGAGATCTCATCAGGATTCAACTTCTTAATGATCTCCTCCATCGGATTTCTGCCAGTCTCCGTCATGAATCCAATTTGTATTCTTGTGACGCGCAACAGAAATTCCGGCAACACTTCGACCGCGCAACAAGAGAGTTAGATCAACAAGAATTCCTGTTTCACCAAGGAAACAAGAATCAAAAGCAAGATATCTCAACAAGGTGAGATATCAGCTCTTCCTCTCATAAGTTCGAGGACTGACCTGTCGAGGGAACCTAAATAAGCTATTACAATTTGAGAAAAGAAGAAAGAATCATTTAATACAGATTACACATCCCCCTTTTTTTCTTTTTTTTTTCTTAGATCTAATCAGCAACAGTTACACATCCCTCCTTTTTTTCCTTTTTTTTTGGATCTAATCTGCAACAGTCATCTCCTCTTCCCCAAAATCCTCGAATCATAACAAAAAGCGCATCAGATCCATATTCTTCCCCAAAATCGCATCGCCCAGTAAACCATCCCCAAAATCGCATCGCACAGCAGACCCTGGAGAAAAAATCCAAAAAATCCAATGGGCTCTCTCCGATTCACCGCCGCCCAATCCCGATCCCATCCTAAACCCTCTACTCCCCCCTCGTCGAGGTCTCCGGTCATCCCGGGCCTCCTCAAGCCCGAACCTAGCATCCGACCCGTCTGCGCCAGCAGCAGACGCCCGGAGGCAGAACTGAATGTCGTTCTCTTGATCCACGGCACCCGAATTGAGCCGTGAAAGGTGGTGGAAAGTCGGGAATGAGCCGGGAAATGGTGGGGACACTGGCGTGGGAAGTTGGAGGCAGGGGCGGCGATGTGATTATCCTGACGCAGCGGAGCACGGCGGTGATGGGAAGTTTGGGCGGCGGATTTGGTTCAGAAGTGGGAGGCGGCTAACTTGTCTCTGATACCATATTCACTGATTAGGGTTTTGAGAGTGAGTGACTTTTCATTGATAGAATTGTTGGCTTATATAGCCTTACACACACGTTTACACAAAGGCCCTCTAAAACTCTTTAATTGCATTACATTCTCAACAGATACAAATAGATAGTAACCTTTTTTTTATTCTTTTATAGGTTCATAGCTAGTTCTACGTCCTCTTTCAGAAAAACATGTTATCCTTTTTCTTGTCATGCCCTGGGCCCACGGGTCAGTTGGCGCGTGCAAGCCATAGCACCCACAGAGTCAATCCACTGCCAAAATCGGCTAGCCGATGTTACACTTGAGTCTTCGGCTTACCTATTTAGCTACACAGCTTTTCACACTTTTTCTGATGTGGGACTAAGTTGGGGGTCTCACATTTCTCAGTCATAAAACAGAGACAAATTAGACAACGGTATTACAGATAGAATAGATACTCGGAAATTGATAGATTTTAATTTCTCCGAGTTATTGCAGAAGATATCCTTGCAAATTTGTAGACCTTGACGTCTCTCTCAGTTATTCTGCACCCTCTCTCATAATTACTATTTACAAAATTCGATAAGCATGGTAAATTACGAAGAATTATATGAAAATCGATAAAATAGAAGCCTCAGATGTTTGAAAAGATGCAGAGGTAGTTTTGGTATAGCAGGCAAGCGCGCGGCTTGAAGAATAGAGGGGGCTCTTTTGAACTTTTGAGTTCCCCTTGGATGCAATTATGGACAATTGTGTATGTTATCGGTTCTCACATGATGGAAGTGTGACAAACTCTTGTAAATTTTTGTTATGCTCATTTTGGGAAGCAAAGTGTTGGATTGATTTGTATAATCAATGACATCATGAATAACAGAAAACATTCAAAAAGATGATCTGATTGGTGATAATCACAAGCATAAAAATACAATTGACTTGCGATGATCACAATTATATACAGCAAATAAATAATTGAACACTTGTTCCTTAACGAATTCACAAACACTACATAATTTCTATTTCTCGTGTCTTTCTTGCCGCTTCTCCCTTTCCTTAATGGGGTCTATCAGCGTCTCCACTTCCTCCTTCAAATCATCCACCTGCACAACCCAAATTAAACACAATCATATTCATCGTTAAAGCTGTTTCTTCTAAGTATTAGCTTAATCCAATTTGTATCACTTATTTCATCTCAATTTTTTGTTGGGTTTAACTCTTATTGGATCACATTCAAACCATAGGGACACAATCTGCTTGTATAAAGGTTGATGAATGCCAACTTGAAGTTTGATTGCTTCAAGTAAAAATTCAGAAATTCATTACGTACACTTTCTTCTACTTTTGCATGTCAAAACACAACATACTACAGAAGAGAATCCATAAAAAACCTTATTGTATTAGAAATAGTTATGCTCATCCCAAATTATTGTTATTTCACTATTTGTTTCTTTTTCCTTTGTTCTTTTAGGTGCATTTTCTTTTGCGTATTACTTTCTTCGAGATATAATCAAGAGTAAATTGTGATCCAAATTTTAGCTTTATATACCGACACGTTAGCTTTGGACGAAGCAAACTAATATAATCTAGGATTGTTGTAGATTTCGAACCTTATGAATAATGTCTTGCGTAAGATGGGCCTCCTCAACAACTTTTTTCGATACATTTTCGATACAGACGAGTGCATCTTTGAGCTTGTGATCATCCTCTGGTAAGCTCTCTGCAGCATCCTCAGCCATCTTTTCAGTCACCATTGCAACTTCCTCCACTACCTTCGCTACATTATCCACTGCCCCAGCCACCATTTCAACTTCACCTAAATTTGCAATGCATACTGGTGTTTTCAATTTTCTATGGCTATGGGGTTGTATATAGCAATCTTTCATCGTACACGTACCTTCAAGTTTCAATAGGCTTCTCCATTTCTGCCGCCAAAAGGGTAGAATTATTGTCAGAGCTGTACCCAATATCCATTTTGCCCTGTAAAACAGTATAATCCCTTCAATTAGAGTCTAAGTATATATCAATGAACATGTAAATATAACCGAGGGGGGAAACACAATTCCAGATTCAAAGTTTAATTAGACAATACCAAATATAGAAAGGAAATCGAGGTGGAGGCGGCGAAGGTGGATTTGAGTCGTCCCTAGCGTTAGTAATCCCCCTATAAATGGACTTAAGATGTCAGTATTAGTCGAACCTGATCAAGTTGGCATTGTTAGTTCATGTACTGCATATCCTTTTCAAATAGCGCAACTAATTGGAACAATTTGGCAAAAAAATTTGCATCAAAGGAAGCTTTTGCTATCAATTATAGCCAAAGTTTTAACCTACATATAACTAAAAAGGATAAAAAGAAAGACATATGAACGTTACATCTTTGGCTTGGATTGAGCATGTAGCAATGAAGCAATTCCGCCGGAGAGATGAGCCTTGATTTCCTTAGATTGTGATCGGTTGAGGCCTGCGAGATGCAAATTCTGCCGGCAATAAGAAGCGAATGATTTGATCAATGACATCTTCGAGAAGTTACTCATCTAGAATTTTAAATTTTGAAGATGGAATTGAATTTAGGACATAGAGAAATAGCTCTCTTTATATATATAGAAACCTCAAATATTGATGAAAGATTGCCTTCACACAATATTTTGCGTGTTTGTTAACACGGCATTTTGAGAACGTTAAACAGTGTCCCGGCCACGGCACTTAAAAGCAGAGATTTTTTGCGTGGATGAAAAGAGTGAGTTGGTTTTGTAAGCAATCCCTTCAAGGGAAAAATAAGGGTGAGTTGCAATTTGGCCTCGTTATATGAATCCTTGCAAGCAACAGCTTACAGTATCATAATAGGTAATGTGTGTACATCTAGGAAAAGTAAGAATTAGGCACAAAAACTACCTAAAGTAATCAGACTGTCAAATAGGCTTTTTGGGCGATACAGCTTCTCGGCATTGAGCTAGTAAGAATATTTTGGTTGTGTATTAACGATTAATTTTTTGCTTAGTTTAGCATTACCCCACATAACCCCCTGGAACTATGGCATGAGAGTCACTGTTAAATTTTTCTTACTCAAAAGTAATTTATTTTTCAGTGAATAAGTATGATTTTTATAGTTTTTTTTAAGGAATCAAGAATGATTCTATTTAAGAGCATTTGAGACAAGTTAGTTACAAATATAATCTGGACCTTCTATCGAATCTGAGAAAGAAGTACATAAATATAATTTACATGCAAAAATAAGTGCAAAGCAAAAATGCATCATAGGAAACACTTTCAGAGCTCAATAATCTTGAGATAAAATAATTTACTTGATGACTATAAAACCAAAACCTAAAGCGATGAAAACCGTAGCATGCCTAAACAAGAATAGCCGAATGGTTTCGGCTAAACAAAATCCTGCTATAAAACAACACAAGATAGCTGAAGTACGAGCCCATTAACACTAACAACCTGAAAACTGCTTGAATTGATGTATGTTGTGCTTAGAAAACAACTTCAAATGAATTTCACTTGTCTCCTATATTGTAGAGCTCAAAAAAAAAAAAAAAAATTTCAGCAGACTCCTCCTTACCTCAATTGGACGTCCATATCAAAAGTTATGGCTGTTTGAAGTTTAATTAGGTGCACAGACACCCTCATTATGATTTGTAGCAGTCACATTATCGTCACAATTAAGGGAGAATATTATGATATTTATATTTAGCATGAGTCCTACATATATATTAATAGACAATTATGATTTTAGTCGTATATTTACACTCAAAGAGAAAAATAGAGCGGATCCAAATTTTTTCTTAATGGCTTAGCTAAATTCTCTACGCGTCTTAGATGTTTAGTTCTTGAGACAAAGTCTTTAGCAACTTAAATGCATAATGTAGACTCTAACCTGCATTCTAACCAAGCAAACTTCATTAGTTTGTTTTGTGCTAATTGTTGCTGGCCTGCCAAACATGTCACTTGCAACTTTAGGTTCGTATGCACCAGACAAGCCTGCGCCATTTTATCAAGGGTTAGTTGTGTTGGTGATAATCACATTTTTATTATAATTTTATGCCCTCATTATTTATTTTACATGAATAAATATACAACTAATAATTATTTTTATCTTTAATTGCAGGTTAATCAAGAATAAAACCCAAGATCTCTTCTCTCAACAATTTTTATCTTTAATTGCAGGTTAATCAAGAATAAAACCCAAGATCTCTTCTCTCAACAAAAACCCATGAATTAAATGAAGAACACAAGCAAGAGCCAAAAAGCCCAAGCCCAGAATCAAACCGAGTAGCTTGTAGAAGCCGGAGAAAATAAAAAAAATTCAAATATGAAAAAAATATATTCAAGATGATTGGCCACAAAGAAACAACGATATCTCCCAATCCGGAAGGCGGGATTTAACATATAATATATAAAAATCGCCTATCTCGACGAGACGAAGCCAACCGTGAAGTCAAAATTTTATTGGAGCATCGATGCTAGCATCGATGCCTGCATCAATGTCAGACATTCTGTTATGCATCAAAGGCTGAAAATGGATTGTTTTGGATAAGATTTTGATCCAAAGGCTCACATTCACTGATGTTTACTATAAATAAGGATAGAGAGTGAGGGGTTAAGGGTGTGAAAATTTTTGTAACTCCATTTGGAGAGGAGAGCCACTCTTAATTGAGAAAGTCATACAAATTTGTAACTTTTGTTACAATTAATAAAATAATTTATTTACCACTTAAAATATTTCTTCTCTTTGTTGGATGATGAAGAATTATTTGGAAGTTTGTATTTCTTTTATTTTTCTCTTTTATTTCTTTTTAGTAATTTCTTTATTATTGCTTATTAGTTAGATTTACATTCATGCTTGTAGTGTAGATTTATTTTCTTGTCTTTTTATTTCCTTTTTGCATTTTAATTTGTAGAGTAGATTTATTTTCTTGTTCATAGTTTAGATTTTTCTTTTTTTTGTAATTAGTTTTTTTCTTCTTGTTTTTATTTCTTAAGATGTGAAATTAATTCTTATAGGAATCTTAGAATTGTATGAAACTAGTCTAATTTCCTTTATGTTATGCAAATTATTTTCTTACACTTAAAATGATCATGTATAGGATAATCAACCAGAGAACTAATTGATAGAAGAAGAATTTAATAATCTATGCTTATCTTGAGTGGTTTGATAGGTTATACTTATGAATTCTAGGATTACTATCTTGTTGTTGTTCTTATCATGATTTTTATTTTGACTTAGATGATAATTTGATAGGTTATACTTTCCTTAAATAGTTTGATAGTCTATGCTTAATAAATCTAAAGTAAAATATGACAAAAAGAGAATAGTTTGTATTTAATAATTGAGATTAGCTAGGGGATTCAATTCTAGATTTCTCATATCTTTAATTGAACCCTCCATCTTTTGTTTTCTTGATTTTTCTCTTTCTTGCTTTTTATTTTATTCTTTGATTCTTTCTTCTCTCCTTTAAAATTCAATTTATTGTCACTTGCATATATTCACAACAACCATTCCTCATATCTCTCCACAACCATAATTTTTATCACTCCTAATTGTCACGCACACAACATAAGAACCGATTCTAATTTTTACCTACAATACACCTTCCTCATTGGATCGATAACTCTTTATGCTATAACTTGATTGATGTAGGCATATAAAATTGCTTATAGGTCCCTTTTGCTCAGCTCGGCACGAACCGACAAACCAACGAG